AAAGCAAGTTATAGAACCAACAAATCTATCAGTAAAACATAGAAAACTGAATCTATACACTCCCCTCACTAGAACTATTATTTCACTCATCACACAAGTTTCTAAGGGGTAAGTGTCTCACTTAAACCTTCACTGAATCAATACTACCATAGGCTTAGTTATATTTTCACTCTCCACAGTCAAGTAACGTGCATAAAAGATCAAGAGGTCTTTAAATAGGATGAAACGGGGCTTTGCTAAAGGGAGGATAAGCAAGAATAAATATGGCTAAAGAACTGGAAACAGATAAAGTTAGGTATAATGTAACACCCCAAATTTCTAACAATTTATAAAAATAATAATGATAACAATTTCAATAACTTTATAAATAACTGCAAAATTCAAAATAACCAAATTTGGGAAATGTTACCGCCGTACTTGTACTATAAACAAGCACAAGGCAAAAATTTATTACAAAAATTAAAAATAAAACTAAAGACTAAGTTCAATGAAAGAATGAAAATTTAAGCCCTAGAGCCAGCTAGAAATATCTGAGTCGTTATCATCACTGCCCACTGCTAGCCCCAGCCTTTAGAACCTGTTTCACTGAAAGTCTACTCCCCGTAGGATCATTGCAGTCAAACAAACACAAACACAAAAGTCAGCAGAGCTGGTAATCTTAATCAAAACCAAATATATAACTTAATATAAAAGATGAAATCAAATAACATAAGACTGAAATAATAATTCAATATTCATCATATATATATAATTAAATCTATTATTATAAATTATCTTTATTAAATTTCTTTAGTGGGAAGAGAACCATGGTAGACCCGGAGATCCTGCCAGTCTACCCTATGACCCGGATATCCTGCGAGTCACATATCAACAATTTGGCCATTATCAAAAACATCTCTTCCTAGTGTGCACGCCTCTTCCCAAAGTTGCTACTAGTATCCCGGATATCCTGCCAGATATCACTTTGAGAAGAACGGATATCTCTTTTCACATAACATAATTATCAGAGGCATAAAGCCCAAATTTTTGTTCATCCCTTTAGGACGTACCATTCCAAAGCTATCCTCATACTATTAGTTTATTTCAAACACACAGTAATAAAATTCCCAAATATGGATAAATATCATATACTGGTTATTCAACAATTCAAATTGATTTACGGATAATCTGCTTCAGGTTTTGAAAATATACACGACAATCAATAATTTGTAACAATTGTAAACTTACACTGATTGACCACACAATCTTAAACAATTGAAACCATATTTCAATTTACGAAAACTGAGATGACAATTTGGGTTTAAAGTACAGCATGTAACAATTGCTTTCTATTTTATATAATATTCAAATATCATATGTGCAACACAGATCTGACGAAACAAAGAGTTTATTCAACAACCTAGATTTCAAGAAAAATAAAAATAATAAAAATAAAAACTGCCTTAAAAATCAAAATAAATTATGGGTTCTATAAGAGAATCTAGGAATTAAGATTACTTGGGCTCCGTTTTCGCTAACTTCTAGAAGAAAAGAATAATTTGGAGCAGAGAACCGGTTGGTAACCAGAAGAATATAAAAATAAAATAAAATATGTTTTTGAAGTAAAAAGAAATAGAGTAGCAGAGGAGAAATGTTAAGAAGTGAATTGGTTTGGTTAGGCTAGGTCTTTATTTATAGTTGAAGTTTTGGGCTCGGATATGGGTTTCGTGCATTTATTTTCTTATTCTTCATTGATGTATCTGACTCAGATATTGGCTTCATACATTATTTATTTATTTATTCTTAATTTCTTATAGGTCAGAATATCGCTAACTCGTTACTGACTCATTATTGACTCAATGCTGACTCATCATATCTAATCAAATTACTAATCAAACATTATCAATCAAACATTAATGCATAAATGACCACTCAATTAATAATTCAAACAATTATAATTTATCACACATTATTATTATTACTACTAATTTATAATTTATTACTATTATTAATTTATTATATTATAAATTACTATTATTTTCCTGGGATATTACATATAAGCACAAACCAATTTTTATCTCACAATCCCTTTCATACTTTTTCATCCTTTTTATGATTTATTTTTCTGGATTTTCTTTTTCAACCCTAAACTTTTACTTTTCATTTTTTTTTTGTCTTTTTTTTGTTCTATACTTTTTTCAATACTTTTATTTGCACAAAATTTAAAAAGCAACACCAATTTTTTTTTTAGAGTAAATATCCTTTTTGGTCCTCAGAAAATTTCATGATGCCCGTTTTAGTCCCCAGCAAATAAAAAGGCACATCGTGGTCCCTAAAAAATTCAAAATGGACCGATTTTAGTCTTTTTGAGGACTAATATGGGTCTTTTTTGAATTTGTGAGGGACCACGATTTCAACTAAATGGGTCCATTTTGTATTTCTTAGGGACCACGATGGGCCTTTTTATTTTCTAGGGACTAAAGCGGGTATCGTGAAATTTGCTGAGGACCAAAAATGATATTTACTCTTTTTTTATTCACCATTTTCCTACCTTTGTTTTTGCTCCGCATCATTTGACTAATTTTTCACCACCAAACAACACATGATAGAATACTCATGCTCACACCTTACCGTGATAAATTCGCAATCTAATCCAAATACAGGTGGAGATGTGTGTGAAGTGTGTAACACATGACAACTTGCAAGGATTAACGACTGTTCCCACACACTAACACGAGACTTTTCAGCGTGCTTTGTCCTCACTTGCACACTTCCCGAGAAAACTTCCCAGGAGGTCACTCATCCCAGAATTGCTCCAAGTCAAGCACGCTTAACTGTGGAGTTCTTCCGTTTCGGGCTACCGAAAAGTAGATGCATCTTGTTAGTATAGATAGTACCAATTAATTCTTATAAGCTATTTCCATCTGTACCATCCGATACCAGCACAGTCTCTGGAATCCCTCTCTTTCGGGTGTTGATTCGATGCATTCATGTACCCCCGTCGCTGGAAGCCTGCCAAGAGCCACTCCTTGTCCATGCCCTTTCGCACCGGTGATCACTCCCCGCCCTCGTTAGCGCCTGGGATGTTACATGCCCACCAGCTTCTGCCTGGTTCGTCCTCGAACCACACCGTACTAGAAGAGAGGCCTACTCTGATACCACTTGTAACGCATGGCAACTTGCAAGGATCGACGACTGTCCCCACACACTAACACGAGATTTTTCAGCGTGCTTGGTCCTCACTTGCACACTTCCCAAGAAAACTTCCGAGGAGGTCACCCATCCCAGAATTGCTCCATTCAAGCACGCTTAACTGTGGAGTTCTTCCGTTCTGGGCTACCGAAAAGTAGATGCATCTTGTTAGTATAGGTAGTACCAATTAATTCTTATAAGTTATTCCTAACTGTACCATCCAATACCAGCACAGTCTCTGGAATCCCTCTCTTTCGGATGTTGATTCGATTCATTCATGTCCCCAGCCGCTGGAAGCCTGCCAGGAGTCGCTCCTTGTCCATGCCTTTTCGCACCGGCGATCTATCCCCGCCCTCATCAGCGCCCGGGATGTTACAAAGTGGCTAATCAAGACAAATATTTATTTAGAAAGAAACATGGCTAGGGTCACTTAACAAATGATAACATAATGGGTGGCTATTTGGCCAAGTGGCTAAGACAAGAAAAATGCCTTAATCATATCAATAGTGCATATTATAAACCATCTCAAGGGGAAACAAAACAATTTTTAGTGCATTTTTAAAAGTGAAGTGCACACCAAAAAGAAAATTTTCTGTTTAGGCTCAAAATCTCACGGCTATGAGTGCATTATTCAACTAACTATGCTCTATCTCAATCACTCAAAGCTTTGATCCTAATATTCCTGTTGACTTTTAAAGTTACTTAACCAGTGCTTATTCACAAAATCAAAATATGAATATAAGTCACTAACTAATCCCCTATCAACTCTTTTTTTTTTGCACAATCACAACTCAAAACAAAATCATCAAAGAGAAAGAAAGAAAAAAGTAAACAAAAGGTCGACAGAAACATCCCTAAAAAATCAGCATTCAGCGCTCAACAGCCCTCATGAAGTGCTACTATGTGGTGATGCGATGCCATTCCCATATTTAGGAATTTTCTTTCCTAAGCAATAAGTTGAAGCGAACAAAAATTAGAAAGAAAGAATTGTGCATCAACTTAGAGGGCGAGTAATGTCAACAATAATCAGTAGTAGCATCCAAGTTAAACCTACTATAGGGTGGGTAGTACTGCTAGACAAACATCACCGTGAAGATCAGAAAATAAACTAAAAAAAAAAGAACAAAAACAAAACAAACAAAACAAAAAATAGAAATATGTTAGGTTGCCTCCTAACAAGCGCTTATTTAACGTCTCAAGCTTGATGTGTCAGCTTTGTGGTAATGGTGGCATGCAACTGGAGTTCAGTGATGACATTATCCATTTTCTCAAAAATTGTGCCTTGCCATAGTAGTACTCACATAAATATGGACGAGAAGGAATGGCCTAAAGAACTCTGAACTTAGTCTTCATATGTTTTCCCTTGCTCCTAGGCTTTTGTATCTTTGCCTTCGGCTTGCAACTCTCATCTGGATGATGATCCTTCTTGTTGTATTTCTCAACCTTCTTCTCATCAATGAAGAAAATCTCTTTTGGCTGAGTTATAGGCGGTGGAGCTTTTTTTCAAATACTTTATGAATTGGTCTCTCTCCTTCCACCTTTAGGATCAACTCACCATTCGGTACATTAATCAATGCTCTAGAGGTCGCCAGGAAGGTCTCCTAAAGATCATGGAAACAGTATCATCATTCTCTATATCCATGATTACAAAGTCCATCAGAATGATGAACTTGTCCACCTTGACAAGTATGTCCTCTATAACTCCATAAGCTTGCTTGGTGGAGCGATCAGCTAATTGTAAGATCATCCTAGTCAACTTCACCTTTGTGATTCCTAACTTCTTCATCATCGATAATGGCAAGACATTGATGCTGGAGCTGAGATCACATATGACCCTCTCTACTGTCTTCAAGCCAATTGGTCATGGAATATTGAAGCATCTCAGAGCCTTCACTTTCAGAGGCAACTTATTTTGCATGATTGCACTGCACTCATTTGTCAAGATAGCGGATCCTTCTGCTGTGAGCTTTTGCTTCTTGGTTAGGATCTCCCTCAAAAATTTAACATACGAAGGCATCTACTCCAAAGCCTGCGCAAAGGGGATGTTGATCTGCCGCTTCTTGAATATGTCTAAAAATTTAGAATACTACTACTTCTGAGCTTCTTGCTTCAGTCTTTGAGTATAAGGAACTTTAGCATATGGATTGTTCTTAAGTTGTTTCTTCTTTTGCTCCTCGGCATTCTTTTTCACATTCCTCCTCCACAAAATACTGCTCCTCTGCCTCCCCAAGTTTGTCTCCATAGGAACGATGCCAAAAACATGTCGCAACTTTGGCAAGTGCACCAGTCATACAAGTAATAAAGTGGTAAAATAGGATTATCGTTCCCACGATGATTGATATATCCAACACTAACTTATTTATGTGATCAAAGTTGGATCGACCGTAAGGGTTTTTTAGAATATGATTCAAATTATAAAATTTAATTTCAAACTAAGAACTAACTAACAAGAACAATAATCAAGAACCAAGAATCAAGAATCAAGAACGATTTGAAATCAAATATTGCAAGAGTAGCTAGGGTGTTGATGTTGTAATAAATCTTTGTAATAAATCACATTCAATTCATGTTATTGAAAATTCTTTCGTAATTAATTAAACTCCAATCCCTTGGTGATTCAATCATTTACCTTATTCAAACCCCTAATCCGTTAGTGATCTCTCATAGGGCAAATATTAAGAACAAGAATTAAATGTCATAGATTTCATAAGTCTATCTCTATATCATACAAAACCTGAGAATTTATCAATCGAAATCCTACATCAACATCCCTGTTGTCATGCAAGATTCATGTGTTCATATATGAGTGCTCGGCAAATTAACCAAAAAAAAAAAAAATCTGAAAAACTGGGCTCTTTGGATTGCACTCACTAGAGGGATGTTAGGAAGGCACTCACTAGACTAGGAGCTCTTCATTTTCTTGTGGAGGCTGCTGGTTGTGGCAGCATGGTTTCTAGGGAAAGAGCTTGTCAATCTATTGGGTTGCTTGGAGTCACAAGACAGGCTAGGCGTACCCTTGTTGATTTGGGAGTGATACCGGTGCTTGTGGAGTTGTTTCGCGATGGAGATCAAGCCACGAAAATTGTAGCTGGTAACTCTCTTGGTGTGATATCTGCTCATGTTGATTACATTAGACCAGTTGCTCAAGCTGGGGCTATCCCCCTTTATGCTGAGCTCCTTCAAGGACCTGATCATGCTGGTAAGGAGATAGCTGAGGATGTGTTTTGTATATTGGCTGTTGCGGAGGCTAATGCTGTTGAAATTGCCGGGCACCTGGTGAGAGTTCTTAGACAAGGTGATGATGATGCAAAGGCAGCCGCGGCTGATGTGATATGGGATCTGTCAGGTTATAAGCACTCAACATCTGTGGTCCGTGATTCGGGTGCAATCCCTATCCTTGTTGAGCTTTTGGGGAGTGGAAGTGAAGAGGTAAAGGAGAATGTTTCTGGGGCATTTGCTCAGCTAAGCTATGATGGAGGTGATAGAATAGCACTTGCCAATGCAGGGGCAATTCCAATTCTCATTGACTTGCTGCATGATGAGATTGAGGAACTAAGGGATAATGCTGCTGAGGCTCTTGTCAATTTTTATGAAGATCCATTATACCATGATAGAGTATCTGATGCAATTAATGTTCCTTCATTCAGAAATATGCAGAATAGACTAATTCATATTCGCGCATCAAACGAGCATATGGCTAGATCCTTACGAAGAATGAGTGTTGAGCAGCTCACTTGGAACCCAGATCTTGTATAATCATTTTAAGGGTATGTTTTGATCTCAACGCTTTTGCTATAGAGGTTTCAACTTCTTTAAGTTGTATCAATGTTACACCCTAGCATAGATATATGTTGTCATGAGTATTGGGAAGAGGAGAGAACTTTCCATGTAGAGACAATCTTGATATCTTTGCTGTATATTTCAAGAAGTTCACATACAAAGGTATTAACGATCGAGTAGATAGTCATCATGTGTAGGAAAATGCTTGAATTTGTGTAACTTAGCTGCCAAATGTCATGCATTATTGTCGTTATTGATGATGAATCAAAACGGGCATTCCTTTTATTAGTCTCTCCGTTTCATAGAGCTCCAAGGACACTTGCATATCGGCTCTCTAACATAAATCATTTTGTAAAATATAAGTTATTCATTTTAAATTTTCACCAGCTTCTTCGGTGAGTCTACATCCGTAAGAAACTATTACCTCATTGTTTTTGTTCAGACAATGATTCCTCTCTGCAGAGGATAGGCACTTTGTTTTTTTGGAAATATTTCACTCGGTTCATAGCTTCGTGATTAATCCAATTCAGGATGGGTTCGGGGATGAAGACTTTAAATCTCTTCCAAAGACGATATTGGAGATAATCGAACACATACTCTCATCTTCACTTGTTCAATTTTTTGGCGCCAACTGAACTATCATCATTTGTTGAGTATAGGCCCTTTAGTTGTAGCAATGTTGGCATAAAAAACCATGACAAACATTATCAGACTCGAAACCTTTCTTGAACTATATTTTTGGCAGGGAGCTTCTGGCCTTAATACAAGATTATAGTATATTTAGAAGATCGTGCATTTTTAAGTTAAAGAGTGTTGAAAATTTATGACATTGCAAAATCCCTTGTTAAATTTCTAAGGTTATTTTGATATGTTTCTGTTTCAACTTTCAAGACTAAAAAGGAATGAATAGTGACTGATTAAGTACCACAAGCCATTCTCATTTGTTAATTTTTTTTTTCCTTAGATAGCCCATCAACAGCACGAGACTTTGTTTGGTCATCAACTTAACCATGGTTTTATCTGTCTCTCTCCTCAAATTCTCCCTCTCTTCTACATCCCCTGACCAGTAGAGTCCGGTTCTAACAAGATCGTTAAAAGTAAGGTTGTTCATCAACCGATCCAAACCGATTCAAACTGCGGTGACTAGACCGAAAAAACTGAAAACTGAATTAATCGAAAATCGAAAAAGAATCACAAAATTTAATTGGATTGGATCGAATTTTGAATTGGTTGGTAAAAATTGATCCAATCGAAACCGATCAAATAATTCTCCAACCTTACCATTTATCTATTTGGATCTTTCCCCAATCATAACCCAAAAATCAGCAAAATTTTGAATCCAAGACCCATTAACCCATTATGTTGGAGAAAGTGGGTTTTTGCTTGATCTATGTTATGCTTTTTTTTTCTGGTAAGATACATCATATATTTTTATTACATGGTTATTGTTGTACAACAGCTCCTTTATAGGATGAAAATTTGGGTTAGTTCGTAACTCAGGCAAGCATATTATGATTTTTTTGTTGGAGGTAAAAGATGGTAATTCAACTTTAAATCCGAATTTAAATACTACAACAATAATTTTCGCAAACTAAATACCAGAGATATAAAAATCATGCTACGCTTCCTTTCAAAACAGAATATACATCATGGCATGCCATTCTTTAAGAAACTACACCAAGTCGAATAATCAGAATACAATCAGCAGAGACATCGAACAAACAGCAAGGTTGCCAACAGCATAACTTAAACAAAATTATTCATGTGATCATGTCATCAAACACCCCTTCAAATGCTTCTAAGTCCCCCTGCAATTTATAAAAATTGAGCCCCCGAAGGGGTGAGAAAAATCCCAGTAATGTGGCAATAAAACCAGTACAACAACAATATTAGACTAGGCACAAAATTCCAAAACAGTCACATCAACATTTAATTTTTCCGGACAGGTGCTAACATATAATCATAGTGCGTATATAACACCAAAGTACTAATCATATTGCGTATATAATGCCAAAGTACTAATCATATTGCGTATATAACGCCAAAATACTAATCAAGATGCGTATATAACGCCAAAGGTGTACGTTCATAGCACTGCAGTGCACGTACTAACAAGCACAGTGGAGATCCCATAGTGGCTCCTCAAGAGGGTTCCAACTGCGACCTATGCGGACTGAAGCCAAGTGTCCCATACCCTGGTACCGGAGGGATGCCTATATGATGCGTGCTCAAACGTATGCTTACTTTTATTATATACTTCGGTTTCCAGAATGCATGCATAATGTTGTATGCTATGACATGTTTGACACACACACAAACAGAAACGGGTGAAACATGATGTGCATATGCATGACTAGATCATAATCATAATAGCATATATCTCTTGTATATTTAATACCAAGCTGCCAAATAACAAATACTTCCATAGGCAGAATTTTCCATCATGACAAGTCCAAAGACAGAATACATATAACATATAACCGAATACTAATCATAAGGCACATATGAGCATCAGTTCAAAATTCCATACGCTAGCTAATAGTCACAGTAGGTCTCACCACCAAACACTTACCTGATACTTTAGCTTACTAATCAAAACAGCCCCAAGTCCGTCCAACATCCTTGAGGTTTATGAAACTAATCAAAAGTACCAAACAGAATTTCTTTACTTTATTTATTTACAAATCACAAGGTTCCATTCAAAATTTATGCTCCTAGTACCAAGTTCATTTTCTGACTTTTAAACTAATTTTCCATGCTTTCAGCTCCTATGATTTCAATCAATTTATCATGCATCCCATGTTATTTAATTTTCTATTTTAACTTTTAATTTCATACAGGCTAACCATGGGCAAACCAAGAGTTCCTAGATGTAACATATACGGTTTTTAGGCCCTACTTAGAACATCCATTTTCTATTAACCAAACACTACCAACTAGACTTAGGCCGGAACTAATAGTTCATTTACATGCTGCCCACAAAGGTTACAAACACACCCAAGGCTTGGTTTCAAATCTGATTTCAAGGTTCTCATACTAATTATTTTTCTGTTAGTGATTTTATTCTACCAACTGTTAGTAATGACAGAATCCCAAGGTTCCCTCTACCTACATATTCAATTTATACAGCCATTACTTAGGAGTCTAAACTTTTCAATTACATAACATGCTTTACATGCCTTAGGGGGTAACAATGAGATTTAACATGCTGTCCAAAACTGTTCCCAACACATTCCAAGTTTGTTTCGTCAGCTTATAACTTTCTTTTAACACCACCACCAATATTACTTAATCACTACCAAATCAATTTTTCAGCATGCTGCCCCTTAGGTTTAATGTATGCCAAGCCAAATAAAACATCATTCTATTCAAACCCAACAATCCCACAATGAGTAGGGCCGTGTTCCAAGCCCCAAACACAAATTTTAGACAAGCCTACACCAAGGTTTATGGTTCCTACGGCTAGGCAGAAAAGGAAAGGAATGACAACCACAAGTTCCCTCCTTTGATGCATGTAAGACCAAGGCAATGAGGAGTAAGGAAACAAGGTTTATACCCCAACTACAAATTGCTAGCAATTAACAAGATCCCAAAGTTCATACAGATTCTGTTTTTTTAAAGCTATCCCCTATGGCAATTCTATTTCTTTTTCTTCAACATAAATTACTTACATCACCTAGGCATGATCAATAGAACTTTTAACATTTACATAACCTTGTTCACAATATTTAGGGTGCGCTAAAGGGGCATACAGCATACTGTCTATAATGTTATTAACACATACGAGTTTTAACAACTATTTTAGTCCAAAGAAACAACCCCAAATCCATAAAGGCTATTTCCCAAACTCTCAAGATCGGTCCTAGGCATGAGTAAACACATTTTAGCAAGCTGCCTTCACAAGTTTAACACATGTAAAACTCCATTAATTTTTCTAATTCAAGGTACAGTCCAACAAAACTAACGGGAGCCATTTCCAAGCTCACCAATCGATTCTCCTTGTGCTTACAAGCACCAAGTCTATGGGTTTTCCTTGCATGCAAGGGAAGGTAAATCAGAATTCCAGTACAGTGGTCTTCCTTGCAAAAGGTTGAGTTTTTAGCCGCACATAATGGAAGGGAAGACCCCGTCAAACTTCGACCGAACAAGAGAATGAGAGTGGGGAAGGGCTCATGTGCAGTCTCCTTGGTTGCTGCATTCGGCCGACCAGTGAGGAAAGAGGTAGAGGCTTGCATGTTGGTTCATCTCATGGGAGCTCACGGTTTTAGTGGGGGAAATGAGTGGATGAGAGGAAAGGAACACTAGTTAAGTTTTGGTATTCATCATGTGTGGCTTACGGTCAAGAAGGGAATGATAGAGATGTGTGATGAATGTTTGAATTTAATTCTGAATTAGGAGACTAAGCATCCAGCCTATTGATTCCCTTAGCTTTGCGCACATGGAGAGGAATGGAAAGAGTAAACTGACTTGGTTTAGGACACAAAACAAGCAGTCAGCTTGTTTGTTCTCCAAATAAGGCGCATGAGGAAAAAGATAAGGGTGACTATAGATGGACATGTGTCCCCACTTGACCAATAAGGTCACCCATGCAGATTTCACTTTGATGTTTAAGAGATTAGCTAAAGACTAATAGATAAGGGTTTTGGACTGAACTTAAGCCTTCCCCCAAGCATTTGGGCCGTAGCCCATCAAAATGGGTGTGGTACAACTTCTCTTCTAAAGTTCACTATCTTAAGTACTCATAAGTGATAACTAAGGTTCTCATAGTTGTAGTCAAATTAATCCTATCCTACACATATTTGTAGTTCAATTTCATGACATACGTCCACCTCCATAATTGTACTTTAAATATTTTTCCTAATTTAAATTAATTCCAGTCTAAACATAAATTTAATTCGACTTTCAAGTATGTTTCACACCCCTAATTGCAAGTTATGGAATTTTATAATTTTGCGGGATGTTACACTCTCCCCACCAGATTTGAAGTTTGTCCCCAAACTTCATCCTACCGATTCCGATAACTACTCAAGACGAATGCCAAACACACATGCATTCATGCAAGACATCATATCACATTCAGCTGGACATCTATAAAATCATCAATTAATTTAGAATGTTACAACTAACTTGTACTTGACATATTAATCACACAATATATAACCAAATT